TTGATGATTTCGTCTATTTCCTCCATCGCCTCTGGTCTTTCCTCCGCTGAGCTATCTTCTTCCGGGGACCCCTCCCTGTCCTCTATACTGACGGTATCATCTGCCCCTTCACCCTCAGGAGTCCATTCCCTCAAGAATTGGCGCACGTCCCGCGATGGACCTCCTCCGTCCTCTTCTACCGCGTTGATCATGATGGCCCTAGAGAGCCAGTCTGCCACCACGTTTTCCTTTCCCGGCTTATACACCACCTCCATGTTGTACTGACTAAGGAATTCTTTCCATCTCGTGACCCTCGCAGAGGTTTCCTTAAGTTTTCCTACCCACTGAAGGGGTTTGTGATCGGTGTGGACTCGAAACTTCCTCCCAAATATATACGGCCTGAAATGGTCGATGGCCCACACTATCGCGAGTAGCTCCCTCTCTAACGCGCTGTACCGTGATTCCGCGCTCGTAAGTCGTCGGCTCGCGTATGCTATCGGACGTTCACCCTCACTTCTGCCCTGAGATAAAACGGCCCCCAACGCGTATTCGCTCGCATCGGTGGTGACGTTGAACTGCTTCTCAAAATCCGGGAACGCCAATACGGGTTCTGCCTGCAACCTATCCATGCATTTCCGAATATTATTTTCCATTTCCGGTGTCACCACGATCCTCGCGCCTTTCTTCAGCAAGTTATTGATAGGTACCAAGTATTCTGCCATCTCAGGTACGAATCTTCTATAATAATTCAGCGTCCCGAGAAGCCTACGAATCCCTTTAACGTCCCGTGGCACCGCCATTCGTGTGATAGCCTCCACCTTTGCCGCATCCGGTCTGACCCCCTCGCTAGAAATAGTGTGGCCTAAAAAATTGATTCGCGTTTGTCCCAACAGGGACTTCTCACTTGACAGTTTCAGCCCGAATTGTCGCAGCCTTTCGAATACCGACCTCAAATGCCCCACGTGTTCGGCTTCCGTTCTGCTAAAAATCAGCAGGTCGTCCATATATACTTGACATACGGAGTCGTCGATCCCCCTCAGAAATTCGTCCATCAGGCGTTGAAACGTTATGGGCGCATTCTTCAGACCAAACGGCATTCTGGTGAATTCGTAATGCCCCCTTTCGAATGTAAACGCCGTCTTATGTTGGTCCTTCGGGTGCATCCGTATTTGGTGGTATCCCGCCTTGAGGTCCAACGTGCTAAACACCACGGCCCCACTCAACCTATCAAGTATATCTTCGAATCTAGGGATCGGGTACTTTTCGTCTACCGTGTTGTCGTTCAACCTACGATAGTCCACTACCACTCTGTATTTTTCCTTATTATCCCCTGGCGCTGCCTTCTTTTTCACTGCCCACAGGGGACTATTAAATGGCGAGGTGCTATCGACTATGATCCCTTGCTCTTTCAGGCTTTCCAATTCCTCCCGAATATGCTGCCTCATCGCCTGCGGGTATCTCCTTTCCTTTACGTAGGTCACCCTATCTTGCTTCAGTGGAACTTCGTGTACCGTCTTCCCTGTTACCCCCAATACCTCGCCCTCCCTGAAGAAAATATCTACGAACTCCGCTTGTAACGCCTTTCTCCAGTCCTCCACCCTGTTCACCGCTCCTATCCGCACCCTTCTTTCTCTCGCGACCCCTATACATCCAAATTTCCTCTTTCCCAGCCTGATACTCCAAGCTCCTCTACGGTTTCTAATGCTTACCCCTACCTGTCCTAACAGATCACACCCTATTATGACTTGGTACTCCCGCGCCATGCTCTCTACCACATGCACCCTTAGCTCCCCCTTCTTCCCTGCCCACCGGTCAAGCGTAATTGACGCTTCCCCTTCTACTTTACAGGGACCACCCAGAGTGATTAGCTGGCAGCCACAGTTTTGTATCCGGAGTACCCTCTCGCTCCCGCACACTCTCCCCAACGCCCCCCGAGTCAAGATAGTACTCGAGCTCCCTGTGTCCACGAGACACTTCACTCCCCCATCTACTTCAATAATCGGCAACCAGCATGGCTTACCTCTAATATTGTTGCAGGTTGCTGTGCGGTCGCCTCTCTGCTGACACCCTTCTCAGATGCCACCTCGCTTCCTCCTTACCGCCGTCGCTCGTCGTTGCTCGCTCCGTTGGCTGCTCCTGCCTCCTTCGCCTCCACTGCTGGCTGGCTCGTCAGTCTCCGTTCCCGACGTCCCCGACTCCTCGGTTGCCTCTTCCGAAGATCCGTCTCTCTGCTGCATCCTAGCTCGTTTTTTCAACTTTTGAGCGTTCACCTCCATTGGCTCGTCTAGAGGTCTCTCCCTCCTGCGAAACATGTACGGGCACTGTCTGGCAATATGCCCTTCAGTCCCGCACTCGAAACATCTAGTGCGCGGACATTGTGCTACCAAATGTCCCGGTTTCCCGCACCCGTGACATTTTCGGTCTTCCCTCCGGGGTCCATTCCTAGGCCTGGACTGTCCGGATCTTCTCTCGCCCGTCGTGGCTTTTTCTCCGTTCGGGTGTTTCATTTCCCTCTTCCTCCACCCTATCTGGGCTGTCCGGGGTCGTCTGTCACTCACTCGGGTCCACCCTGGTTCTTCTACTTCCATCCGCGTCTCTTCCTCTCTTGCACTCAGATCTATCATTTCTTGGGCACACTCGAGGAACGATCGCTCTCTAGGCAGTCCGTCCCTTCTCCCAGTCTCCTTAGCTAACTGAACCTTGAGTATTGTCGAAAGGAATTCCATCCTAGCCTCGACCTCTCCCACACTCATGGTTTCACGCATTTTCTCAGTTATGCGGTTGTACTTCGCCACTAGTACCCCCGCATACTGTCCTCTTGTTTGGCGTTGGGACCGACACTCCCTAAACATTTGGAAGATATCTTCTTCCGGCGTCCATCGGCCCCCTCCGAAAGCCTTCTTCAAACGCTCCTTAATCACTGGCCATGGTGTCTCCTCGTCCGCTTGGATTTGGTTGAGGATGTTCCTCCTCACTCGGCACACGAGAGCTGCCTTCAGTGCTTCTGCGTCTCCCAAGTTCACGAGGTCCTCCGCCACCTTTGCTTCGATTCTTGATATGAGGCGGTCTCCGCCTTTCAGGAAGTGATTAAGTTCACCTATCTCGCCCCCGAATCGCTCCAGGTCTGCGATTGCTCTCCGTAGATCCTGCGTGGTTGCTGCCCTTATCTTCATCCACTCCAATGCATTGGCATGCGCCTCTGCCAATGTGTCCCTAGGTAAGGGAGGGATCTCTTGTATCTGCGGTACTTGCGGTATCTGAGGTATCTGCGGAATCTGCGGAACCTGAGGGGCGATCTGAGGAATCTGCGCTATCGGCATTTCCTGAGGTTGCGGCATTTCAGGTGCGTTCAACACTCCTGGTCGAATTATGCCCTCTGTCGGCATCTCGTCTTTTCCTTATGACTAGGAGAAGAGAAAAAAAAATTAAAATAAAGACAGAAAAAAAAATTTTACTTCCGTGTTCTCCTGACGTTCTCCCGGGTTTCGGCACCAGTTAAGCGTCTCCGGGCTTTAAAAATAAAAAAAAAGAAGGAAAGAGGAACGAGAAACAATACTCACGGCTTCTGAATAAACACTGCTTTATTCGTCCAATAATCTGCCTTATATACAATTGCTATGTTTATTTACATTACAAGATGGTATTAAGGCTGATATCGCCAGTCTCCGGTCTTTATCTTATATATATATATATATATATATATTGGTGCCCCGAGTCTCTCAGTCCAGCCCCGAGTCTGCCCAGTCTCTCACCATTACACTGAGTTAGAGTGGCTCTTCCCCTCCATTTGAAGACAATATTTCCTAGGTACATTCCTCTATCATATCATCAACAATCATAGTCCTTCCTACGCCTAAAACCTTCTCCAATTCAAGGCCTCAGTCCACTCCCTCTCCACAAGATCTCGACCTTCCGACCTTTACATTCCTTCTCACAGATCTGCCTCGTTCCAAAACTCCTTTATTGCACCTTCTGTTAGTTTCTGGAATTCCCTTCCTATCAAAATTCGACATTCTTCATCCTTATCTACATTCAAAACCCTCCTATTCCAATTCCTGTCCCAAAAACAGTCAGGCACCAGCTAATCTTTTATGTAAAATTACATATTATCTATAAGACCATATTCACATATAGCTCATGACCTGAATACTTATTATAGATTCGACCTTCTTTTTCTCTTTTTTTTTTTTTTTTCAACAGAAACAGATTTTACTGTTAAGAAGAATATACATTTATTTTTTCTGTATTTTTTATTTTTTCTAAAAGGGTTTATTTATATTTTAACATTGTACATAGTTTTAAGTATCTTAGTATGGTTTCAAGAGTTTTTTATATAGATTTTTTTATTTTATTTTGTATATAGTATGTATAACCAATATTTTTTTCTTTTCTTTTCTTTAATGACCTATCATTATCTTAATTTGTTATGTATGTTTTTATCTGGCCAGTTGTAAAATTTTAATTTCTGTACTTATTTGTTATTCTGAAGGGACTTCGTCCCAGAATAAAATTTTTTTTCTATTCTATTCTATTCTATATATATATATATATATATTTCTGTCAAGATGATGCCTGAATTGGCGAAAAGTAAGCAAGTTAACTGCCCACTTGAGTGCTAGAGACTCATGGCTATACAGTTTGGATTGCTCCATACAACAGCCAGACTTCATAATAAAAACAACAATGAATCAATAAAATTCTCATGAAAAATTAAATTTGTAAGGCTTTTTTAATTTAAATTAAAAATATTTTTAAATAACGGGACATTGAGAAAAATAACCTAAGGCATTTGTGAATAATTTATGTCTGTTAAAAACAACAGTTTGGATAATAAGAAAGATGAGTGCATCGGTAAGAATATTTAAATGGCTGGCTATTTTGGAAGTTAAATTTATTGATGTTTTCCCAAGTAATTTGCGAAACCTGTGCGTGGGTGCGAACCGTAGCACGCACTGACGTCAACGTGGACGAAGCCTAAAGCTTTTTAAGCCATCCGATTAATAATTTTTGTTATTCCGACATTTGGCGTCTCATCGGCAACATGAAGTACCTCATCCTTTTGGCTTTACTCGTTGTCTTCTACTTCAGTTTGATTTCTAGTGCTCCCCAGGAAGAGCTGAGCGAGGAGGTAAGTTGTAGTTTTGAATAGAAACTTAAAAAAAAAAAAAACTAAGCCGTGTGCTTTACAAAACACGATAGAGGTGAAAACATAACAAGATTAATAATATGAAACACAAATTATAAATAATTAAATAATACAGAGAAAAGCTTTGTATGTTCCATGCTTTATAGTAAAATAGGAAAGCATTATTTTTTAATAAAATATGGAAAAACATAAGGCATTATGAAATGAACTTGAACATAAGTTATGACATAACATTTATATTTTATATTTTTCCTAGAACTAAGGCGTAAAAACTGTTGTTTACCAACGCAGTTAATCATGTGTATATATATATATATATATAATGAAAAGGGAATACTATCAAATATATGAAAATCTTTAAGAAACGAAGTAAAAATTCATATCTTTTCTCTCTAAAAAGAAATTTTTAAAATTATCTAAAACCTTATTATGCACAACAAACAAATATAATCATGTGTATATATATATATATATATATATATATATATATATATACACATGATTATATTTGTTTGTTGTGCATAATAAGGTTTTAGATAATTTTAAAAATTTCTTTTTAGAGAGAAAAGATATGAATTTTTACTTCGTTTCTTAAAGATTTTCATATATTTGATAGTATTCCCTTTTCATTATATATATACAGTTATTTACAACAAATAAAATTTATTGTTTCAGAATAACAGAAAACGATACCTTTTCTACCCTACAGCAACCACTAATTTAACTGGAGTAAGTAGTGATTAAGCTTAGAATTTCCATCCGAATGAAATGTAAAGTTGATACATATGGATATAATTACGTTATAATTAAGTAATAAAGTCAAGATTTAACTACTGGGGTCAGAAAATTTGAAAAATAAATACAACAATGCTTACCAGGAAAATTGCTGGATGTCGTTCTAGCGTTCGATATACTCTAGCAATTATTATTTGTAGATAATTTATACAATAGGGATAATTTAAAAAAAAAAGAAGTAATAAATATAACTAATGATTGATTTTTCATTGGAGATATTCAGTAATACTTTTAGCATCGGCTCTTTTTCAAAGTAACCCACACATAATTGGAGGAACATTGAATTAATGAAATCAACAAAAGTTCCAATAGATAATCTGAAAATAATCAAGACACTAACATCCTACATAATTCTTAATTAAAATAAATAAACATAATGATTGATTATCATTTATACAGTTTTATTACTTTATATTGTATCGAGTATTAGAATAAAAGTTAATTTTGTTACAATATATAACATTATAACATTGCATTAATTCCTTGATCGGTAGATTTTTAAACGCATCGGAAAAAAAACATTGAAATTATATTAATAAATTTCGTAGATCATCACCAAAATCTAAATTGGCTGTCTTTAGGATATAAAAAAAAATCTTAAGAAACAAAAAAAAAACGCTAATTTCGTACTATATAAGATTATTTGGATTTTAAATATCTGTCATGGGTGGATATTTTCTTATTACTTCGCTGCTTGCTACTGAGCCACTAAAGTTTAATAAGTAAAAGACACTAGCATTTATTTATATTTTTTTATTGAATTAAATATATTTTTAAGAATAACATTACATTATTATAATTATTTACAATAAATATTCATCTAATTTAAATATATATTATTATTGTTACAGTGGACATACACAACAGTTCCTTTGGGATTGGCGCTGTTTGGAAGCAATCCATACATTATTGGATGAGATTCTGTAATTCTGCAATAACCTGGAAATAATGCTCAAGTTTTATTAATGCAATAAATGAAATTCCTAATCATTTTTTCGTTTTTCTATTAATATAAATATTTACCCAACGTAATCAATTTACTACAAGATTTATTTAATTAATTATTCATAACTTTATTAAGAACACAACTTTTTTTTTTAAATTGATTTATTGAGTATTACAACAATCTGTCTCTTGGACACACAACTACAGAACACAACTAAATAATTTTCAGGTTAATATGACGTTGTATACATCTGTAGCAAAATTAGTAGGTTTTCCATTGGTAGCATTCTAACCAAAATAAGTCTTATACCGGATGATCCACACACACAATATATAATGTATATATATATATATAGAGTGAGAATCCACACCACACACACATCACAAATAAAATCTATTTATCAAATATATTTATATATGTGTGTGTGTTTGTGTATGGTAGAATACATACGGTAGAAGATCCATCATGTTTTTCCAGACTTCTATGGGGACTTTTTTTAGAAAATTGTAACTGTTACTCATTATACTTTATTTTATTTTTTGTGATTTGGTTATCTTAACCGAAGTTTGAGACGTTAAATCAATCTTTGAGAATGTTGATTCGATTTACTCACATTTTAAAGTTTAAATAATCAATGCATGGCAAATGTTGTGAAAAGTAATGAGGAAAAATCTTTGATTTTTGTTTTAATTATCAGCATTGCTCAAGACAATCTTCAACAAATCTATCGTCTATTACACTTACCACTTTTCTTGATCCATCGTTTTCCAATAGAATGCTATGGGACATAAGTATAGAAATGGATTGAATATATTCCGATAAAGAAAACAACAAAAAACGACTGTTTGTATAAATATAGAAATTTATTCTCAGTGTGAATATTCTCTAATATACAAGTGAACAGTTAAATTGCCAAAGTTTCGCCAATTCAGGCATCATTAAGGTAAAGAAAAAAGGAAAAAAAAAAACATATCTTATATTGAGATCTCATCAAGCCATCCATAAACATAATGAAGGAAACAGGAGAGGAAGGTTATATAAAACAACTGATTTTCAGAGATGCAGGAAAAAAACTCATACATAAAATATAATGAATGGTATACTGCCCCATTTGTTTATATATATATATATATATATATATATATATATATATATATATATATATATATATATATACTATATAGTTTGGATTGCTCCATACATACAACCAAACTTCACAATCACAACAAGAATGAATCAATAAAATTCTCATGAAAAATTAAATTTGTAAGGTTTTTTGTATTTAAATTAAGAACATTTTTAAATAACATTGAGAAAAACAAGCTAAGGCATTCGTGAATAATTTAAGTCTGTTAAAAAAAACAACTTAGATAATAAGAAAGACGCGTGCATAGGTGAGGACATTTAAATGGCTGGCTATTTTGGAAGTTAAATTTATTGATGTTTGCCCAAGTAATTTGTGAAACCTATGCCTGGTTGCGAACAGTATCACGGCTCTGACGTCAATGTGGAGGAAATCTAAGGGTTTTTAAGCCAACCGATTAATAATTTTTGTTATTCCGATATTTGAAGACTCCTCGGCAACATGAAGTACCTCATCCTTTTGGCTTTACTCGTTGTCTTCTACTTCAGCTTGATTTCAAGTGCTCCCCAGGAGGAGCTAAGCGAGGGAATAAGCGAGGGGGTAAGCGAGGGGGTAAGTTGAAGTTTTTAAATTGAAAAAAACACTAAGGTGTGTTATTTACACTACACGATAAAGGTGAAAACATCAACAAGGCGAGATTAATAATACGAAATAAAAATTATAAATAATTAATTAATAGACCATTACGGAGAAAATGAAATACTGAACGATTCCCTCGTTTACGGTTTGTATGTCCGATTTTTAGTTTCTGAGATATTTTAATCCATATCTTCAATAAAACTCTTTATCATTTGGTTTTCGACACCATTTTTTTCCCTCCCCCTTTTCGTCTCCCGAACACGGATTAAAATATAACTTTGAATAATAACCAATTATAAAAAGGATGAAATACTGAACATTTCTCTCGGTCTCAATATGTAGGTCCGATTTTTAGTTTTTGAAATATTTTAATCCATATGCGAATACATTTTAATTAGTTGCCTCCAATTGATTTTGTCCGAGCGTTACACATCGGAAATCTGATGGCTCAATCTAGTCCACTCTTCACAAAAAAGTGCAAAACGCTCCTAAAGAAGTTTTCACTTCAAAAATTGCAATCGTTTAATTTTGTTGAAGTTAAAAAACGTTAATGATAACTATGCATTAGGCGAAATGTAAATGGAAAAGAATAAAACAGTTCTCTATTACGCCAGGGACACTCAGGCCTGAAGTATCCAGATTCTTTTTTAAAACTAGAGTCATTATATCTATACTTCATTATATCTATAGTTATTTACAACAAATAAAATTTCTTGTTTCAGAATAACAGGAAACGATACTTTTTCACCCCTACGTCAACCACCAACTTAACCGGAGTAAGTAGTAATGATGCTTAGAATTTTTATCTGAATTAAATTTAAAGTTAATACATATGGACATAATTACGTTGTATTTAAGTAATAGAGTCAAGATTTAAGTAGTGGGGTTAGTTTGAAAAATAAATTAACAAAAAAATACAACTATACTTACAAGGAGCATTCCTGGATGTCGTTTAAGCGTTCGATATAATCTGGCAACTTAGATAATTTATACAATAGGAATAATTTAAAAAAAAACAAACAAGTACATACCTAGTGATTGATTTTTCATTGGGAATATTCAATAGTACCATTAGGATTGGCTCTTTTTGAAAGTAATCCATACATAATTGGAGAAGTAATCGATTAATGAAATTAACGAGAGTTCCAAAAGATAATATGAAAATAATCAAGACACTAACAACCTACACGATTCCTAACTACAATAAATAAACATAATCATTGATTATCTTTTATGATCTTATATAGTATCCAGCATCAGATTAGAAGTCAATTTTGTTTAAAATTAAAATAATGGATAAAGTTGGTGATAGATAGATAGCTTGTTAGACTCATCGGAAAAAATAAATATTGAAATGTTATTAATATATTTCGTGGATCATCACCAAAATCTAAATTGGCTATCTTCTGCAAAGCACATGTAACTCTATATGTACATTCTGAATATAAAAAATAACTAAGGGAACAAACATTCCGTTAAATTTGTACTATATAAGATGATTCGAATTTTAAATTTCTTTCATGGACGGATGTTTTCTTTTGACTAGTCATCAGGTAAACGACATAAGCATTTATTTATTTATTTTTTTATTGAATAAAATATCATTTTTAAGAATAACATTAAATTATTATAATTGTTTACAATAAATATTCATTTAATTTACACACAGTTGTGATTGATATTATTATTATTATTACAGTGGGTATACACAAGAGTTCCTTTGGGATTGGCGATGTTTGGAAGTACTCCATACGTTTTTGGATGAGCTTCTGAAATTCTGCAATAACCTGGAAATAATGCCAAGTTTTATTAATGCAATAAATGAAATTCCTAATCATTTTTTCGTTTGTGTATTAATATGCATATTTACCTAAACGTAATCAACGTTACTACAAATGCTTTTTTAATTAATTATTTATTACTTTATTAAGAACACAACTAAATATATTTCAGCTTAATATGACGTTGTATATATCTGTAGATTAAAATTGGTAGATTTTCCATGGGTAGCATTCCAACTAAAGTAAATCTTATTCCGGATGATCCACACACACACGCGCATATATCTATTTATATATGTTTGTGTGTGTGTATGGTATAATATAAATACATATGGTAGAAGATCCGTAAGGTTTTTCCAGCATTACAGAATTACGAGACTTTCTCATTGTCAATGACTTCCCAGCTTCGACTGGTTTCAAGTTTCGTGTGCCCTTGGGGAATGATGAATATTGCTACTACTACATTTTTCATAAAATTTATAACTATGGAGATATTTTTTAGAAAATAGTAATACTTACTCATTACATTTAATTTTATTTTTTGTAATTTTGTGTATCTTAACCTAAATTTGAGACGTTAAATCAAGCATTGAGAATGTTGATTCGCCTTACCCGCATTTTAAAGTTAAAACAATGAATGCATGGCAGACGTAGTGAAAAGTAATGTGGATAGATCTTTAATTTTTGTTTTAATTATCATCATTGCTCAAGGCAATTGTCAACAAATCTATCGTCTACTACATTTACGAGTTTTCTTGATCCACCATTTTCGAATAGAATGCTATGAGGTATAAGTATCGAAATGGCTTAAATATATTCCGGTAAAGAGGGTGGTAGATGGAATTATAACGTGAATAAAAAGTAGTGACGTTAAAGGAAAAGTTTCACCTTTATCTTTGAAAGATCTTGATCTTTTGATATGTATGTATATAAAATATATTTGTTAACTTTTGAAATAAGTTTCGTTAATTGAACTTAAAATATTGAGTTTGTTTGCATAAAGTTTTTTATAAATTATTAATATTGGAGAAAATATTTTTTAGATTTTTCTAATAAAACAAAATTGATAAGTCAATAATTTATGTTTTTGATTTACAGTAGCCACTTATGCGGGAATAGTTAATTTAAAAGGTCACTTAAGCAAATAAATTTCTGGGAGATCTGTACATTAGCGTTAAATATTATACTTATGAAGGTATAAGTTGTCCCAGGTTCTCAACACAAATGTTGATTAAGAATTACAAAAAACGACTGTTTGTATAAATATAGAAATTTATTCTCAGTGTAAATACAAAAATCATCATAGAAAAATAATTTACAGAAGTACACTCGTACATAAATAATTAAGGCTATAGATAACAACATAAATAAAACAATAACAACAGATCACATCAACAATAAGTTTACGTTCATAAATATATTTATATCACAAGAATCATCCACGTATTGGACAAGAAAAATACAAAAAATGGCCTTATCAGTCTGATAATATAACACATGATGATGAAATCACTAAATATTATTTCCATGTTCATTCATATTCCTAAATATATATATATATATATATCATAGATAACAAAAAGCTTTATCAAACATAATGCGTTTATTCACAAAATAATAATTATAATCTAAAAAAATAAATATTACCTTTAAAACCAAATATTTTATGATACAACATATATATAATTCCTGTATAATATATAATTTACATCTTAAACTAAAGCCTAGAGGTACATTGTTTCACTAAATATAGTATACCAATACTCTTTTATATTTAATACAAATATGGCCGAAGGATTTAATACCCACTACCGTAATATACAAATATTTAAAAAAAACAGTCTTTTTGGAACAATCGTTGGTATTCAGATATTTATTGTCATCATAAATAAAATTCTTTTAGTAAACATCTTTTATTATTTTAAAGATTACGTAAGTGATAAATGAAAAATATTAATCAATTTTACCCATGCTATAGATTCGATTTAACTTCCCAATATTTTGGAAATAAAGCAAATGAATACAGAGATCCTACTGTTTCAATTGGAATCCAAACCACAGTTGACGATGTTCGCCAAAAATAAAGGGCTAAGAAAACAGAAAATTGAAAGTGGCTTGAACAAGAGCACTTAAAGTTTTATGGAGGGAAAAATTTAAAAATTAACTAAACAATTCAAGATCTACAAACAACGTAGCAAAAAAAAAATCACAAGAAAACATCCACTTCCTTCGTCTGTACTGTCGATTGCCTCGAATTATTACCATTAATTAAATTAAAATAAACATTTTAACAAAATATAATGATCAAATTATTAATCAAAATTAATTAATGATAAGATTTTATTGTATCATCACAACTACGATAGTACATTTATTTTTAAATAATATACTTCTCTATTTATATTTTACGTAAAAATCGTATAGTTAGCCCTGTAATTTTCTTCGATTTGATGTCAGTAACGCAAACAGCGCATAGATACTGTATTTTTTATTTATTAATTTTTGATACAAAAATTAATAAATTTTAAATTTAAAATTATTATTTTTAAATAATACAGGAGTTATGAACGGATTTTAATTTATTTTTACGCTTAATCTGAACTCAAACCATGATTTTAGATTAGATTTCAGTGAAACAATTTATTATTATACGACTCACATACACAAAAAATATCTTTGATAGCATCTTTGTGATAACTTCCTTGGTCCAACGACAAATAAACAAGGTCCTGCCATTGGTTGAAGATTTAAAATGGGGGTTGAAGTAAAGGTTTAGAATCAGGCATTTGCCCAACAGACCCTTTATTATTATTGACATGATGTATTTTATTTTTATATATTAATCAGAAAAATTTAGTGTGAATTCTTAGCCATTGTGATTGCTTCATAAGGTAAATTATAATTAATGACTCTTGCCCTGTGACAGTCAAAATATGCTTGATTTTAATATACACAAATATACAAATAAATATTTCTACGAATACAAAGGTGTTGCGTTTTACCTTAATTGAACCTATTAAAGCTGATCATAAGATCAAGGATCAGGCAATGAGGGTAGAAACAGGAATGGTCTGGAGCGGGATGACCGGAGGAGGAGGAGGAGGAGGCGGCGGCTGCTGGCCGTCGACGGACGTTGGAGGAGGCGGCTGCGGCCCGGTAGACGTGCACTTCTTGAAGTGAGTCCGCATGTTACTCGACTGACTGAACCTGAGGCCGCACTTCTCGCACGAGTACGGCTTCACCCCGGTGTGGTAGTTCATGTGTGTCTTGAGGTGGTGCTTCTTCGTGAACGACTTGTTGCACACCGTGCAGGAGTACGGCTTGATCCCGGAGTGGAGCCGCATGTGCAGGGTCATGTTGGACCTGTCGGCGAACGCCTTCTGGCAGACCACGCAGGAGAAAGGCTTCTCACCCGTGTGGATCCGCAGGTGCTGCTTCAACAGCATCTTCCTGGAGAAGGCCTTCCCGCAGTGCTGGCAACTGTGAGGCTTCTCCCCGGTGTGGATCCGGACGTGCATGTTGTAGGCCACCCGCTGGTTGAAGCTCTTCCCGCAGTACTCGCACCCGTACTCCTTCCGGTTCCGGTGGATCTTCATGTGTGAGCTGAGGTATCCTCTGTCGTTGAAATACTTACCGCATTCCGGGCAGGTCGCAGCGAACTCCCTGGTCCCCTCGTGTACTGACCTGTGGTATTTGTAGTTCCTCAGCTGTGAAAATTGCTTGCCGCATTCCAAGCATTGAAATGGTTTTTCTCCTGTATGAGTACGTAAATGAACCTAAAAAATAAAAGAAGAAGAAATATTGCTATTAAAAATGTAACATAATAATAAAGCTTAAATGTTAAGTAACATAACCTTTTGTACCTTCATTGTATAAACAATTAACTCCCCTGATTATGTTTTTAATATGAGTGAAGTTTATCACGTTTATCAGTAAAAGGTAATTTAATGATAATAAGGCCAAAAACAAAGATTTTTTTTATGGTATAATATTTAATTAAATTCATTAATTTCTATATAAATTATTATTTCGAACAAAATCAAAAGTTACATCATTGGTACAAAACCTGACTCACTTAGGTCAAGACAAGTAAAAGATTATCTATAATAGAGCCCCATGGTTCGCATAATCAGAAGATTTTATCATATATGAAGTGTCGACGGGTTAAATTATTCTTCACTTGCATTTTAGAGACATAAGGCAGTATAGTTTTTTTTTTTCTCTTTACCTTGAGGGACGCCCTGGTGAGAAAGATCTTCCCGCAGTGAGTGCAGGTCTGCTCCGGCTTGGGCGTGTCGTGCGCCTTGCAGTGCGCCGTGTATTGCGCTCTAGCGGTGAAGGCCTTGCCGCAGACGCCGCAAGAGAAGGGCTTGTTGTTGTTGGTGTCCGACAGGAGGACGGCCAGGGACTGGAGAGGGGTGGGTTCCTCCTTGACCAGCCTGAGGTCAGAGGCGGCTTCCTCTTCTTGGCGGTAGAAGTCCCTCAGCCTCCGCTCCTTCAGCTTCCAAGCCTTCGTCGTCTCTTCTCCTCCGGGCTCCTCCTTCACCTCGGGGAAAGATGCCTCTTTTACTATCGGTGGAGGGGACGCGACCCGCACCGTTTTCAAGTCCTAAAATAGAAATAAAACATATTTAGCAAATAATAACAAATAAGAAAACAGTTTAGAAATATATACATCTGAACAAAATCAAACCTTCCATCAACAAAATCGAACACCAAAAAATACCTTGATGGTACATGTTATAATCAAATTAAAATATTTCGTCTTTACAAGATTCATAAATGTATGATAGATTTCCTGCATTATTAATGTGACTTTAAGAATAAATGAAGAAAAATAAACTATGAAGAAAAAACTATAAAAAAGCTTAGAGAAGGATAATATTAAATTTAAACTTCTGGAGGGCTACGTGACCTCAATATAAACAATAAAACTGGAATCTGTAAGGAGTACTTTGCTATGAAACACTATGATGAATTTCAAATAAATGACCTAAATTATCCTCAATTTACTTTAACTAAAATTATCCAAATATGAATTAATTATTAAATACTCAATTATAAAGAAATAAATTTTAAGATTTTGAAATACGTGCGATAAAATCTAACATTGCTTGCCAGGAATAGTGTTGCCCAAATGCGAGACCGAGAGGAGTCTTGGTCTTGCAAATTCAGTCTTGTTCATGGTCTTGATCTTGCGCAAGAGTCTCGCTACAGTCCTGCAGTTACTTATTAGCTTATTACTATAGAGATATTGTTGTAATTTTTTATATATGAGAAACCTAACTAAGCCCGAATGGAAATTAGAGGAGTTAAATGGAAATTAAATGGCTATACCAACTTTTTACATATAGTGACTAAGATTGTCAAGTATTAGTAATTATTTTGCCTTAATTTTTATTCAAAAAATTCTTTTTTTTTTTACCAGTTCTGGTCTTGTTCTTGCAACAGTTAAACGGTCTTGGTCTTGGTTTTACAAAGTGAAAGACCAAGATTGATTTTGGGCAACACTAGCCAGGAGCCGTGATGAGAAGCGAAAGGCACACGACTACTACAAAAAATATAATTAGGCGTATATTCCCTGTATCTATACCCTTCGGATAAATAGTATTTTCCGATTTCTCTTAATCTTTTTTTTTTTAGTGTTTTAAATAAAAATATTCTTTTTAGTTATAACATTTTTATTTTTTCAAGTACTAACATTTACATTGAACAAACATAATCACAACCTTACACATGAAATGAAAAAAAAAAATATGTGACGTTACTTAAAATATTGTGATTATTTCATAATTTCGATTTGATTATTTTAAACTTCCTCAATCATTAATGGGAATGTTCATTCACAAGTAAGATTAACATGCAACAAATACGTTTTAGCAGAAATCCCTTCGACACTAGCTAACTATGCCGCACAGATAGGACATGCCTTGCGTTTGTGCTAAGAACTGGAGTTGTCCCATTGCCTCCTGAGTTGTGAGCGCTGAGACGCTCCTAATTTTGATGAGATTGAGTGAGCACTTGCTCGATGAAATAAGCTCACTCGTGAACCTGTTCCTTCCCCTCGGTTCTCCTCAAGAGATCTAATTATAGCTCGGCCATGCTGGAGTAATTTACAGCGGCTCTGAGGCATTATCGCCCCAGCAGCCAACAGCCCTGGCCAGATTAATCTCCGGCAAATATTCATATTTTAATGGAGATAAATTGCGAGAACAGGGCCCACTACACTAGTCAATTACTTTTAACTCGACAGTATTATAAAATTATATATAGTTAATCAATATTCCAATTATATTCGTGTTTACCCTCAAATTATATTCGACCTTATTCGGTAAAGCATGGAACCATGATCCATGCAAACTAAAATGCGATATACATTATAACCATTTTTTCCTACCAAATTATCCTCAATAAGACAACCCTTGAAAAAGTAAATATAATCTTGATTACTATTTAAAATACAAAGATGAATAAAAAAGGTTTAAACATTTTTTATATCGATAACCTTTTGTTATCATAGGCAGTACCCTCATATCGGTATCTGGAAGTTCCCGAGAATTATAAAATGCAGCACGTAAGCTTGCTCTTCATATCAATATGGACAAGACCAAATACATGATTTTTTTTTATAAATCAAAAGCAATAGCATCCTCACATTGGAATTTGTAGTCAGAATTTCGACAATATGGACAATTTTAAGTATTTAGTAGATCAGATATGAATGCATAAACTAACATCAAAGAAGAAATTAAAACATAGCTGTGGCGTCAGATAGATTGCAGCAGATATATGCAAACACTCCAGAAGGCAGTTCGTATCCTAACTCAATCATACGCTACATTTCTAATATATCGAACAAGAAAAAAAATATAATGAAAAAACAACACAACTAAACTGTGTGCTTTATAATAATATGAAATATAAATTATAAATAATAATAGTCCATTACACAGAGTATGAAATGCTGAACATTTCTCTCACTTATACTATGCAGACCCAATTTTTAGTTTCTGAGATATTTTAATCCATATCTCCCATAAAACTCGTCATCGTTTGGTTTTCGATAATATTTTTTCCATTTCTTCTCTCTAACATGGTTGGTTAAGACACAAATTTGAATAATAGCCGATTACAGAGAGGATGAAATACTGAACTATTCCCTTGCGTACAGTGTGCAGGTCCGATTTTTAGTTTCTGAGATATGTTAATCTAAATGGCGAAAAACTTAATTAGTCGAATCCCATTAACTTTGCCCGAGCATTACACATCTGACGCCTCAAACTAATTCACTCTCCACAAAAAAGTGCAAAACGCGCCTAAAGAATTTTTAACTTCAAAAATAAAGAAAGGTCCTCTAAATGATAGGTCAAGAAATTGAATTGAGACAGAGGCAATCCAGAAAAAATCAAAAGATATGGGAGATGGCGAAATAGATATTGTGTAATTCATCAAGATAGAATCTTCTTAGTGATGACTCATCACTAGAGACCGGAATGTCATGTTATTGCACTTTAATCAATTCATGTTGTTTATTCGCTTGCCTGTAAAAACCCCGTACCCGAATATCTATTCGTTTCAAGACCTGAAGAATAACGTATTTAAATTTTATATTGCAGGTTTTGACGTTTTTGGCTTAAGTTGCACGATTTTGCACTTTTGTGTTATATTAGACAATTTATAAAAATAAATGTATAAGTGAGCGTGTTAATATTTATTTTACTATATTGTCCAAATTAAATTCATTATTCAAAATAGAAAAATGTGAGGAAGGCAAATAATTCTGTGTGAAGCAAAAATCGTATTCATTACAAAAGGATGAAGTAAACACAAGTGAGATCAATTCTTGAAATGGAACTTGCCTAAAGTATTGCATAGTAAAAAGCTGCTTTTATAGAAATAGCTGCTTTGTTAATTAGGCATTTATAGTTATTGTTTTAGCTTTCAATATCTCTTTAGGCTTTGAATTGATTTGTAGAAATTTCATTTTTTCATTCAGATAATACTTAAAGTAAAATCTAGTCTCTCGTCAAAAATTAAAATCTGGATATAAAATACCGCGATTTGAAATGTGAGAATGAAGAATTTGATGAGGAAGTTCTATACACCTTATGAAAAACCAATCATATCATAGAAAATCACTAATAGACGCTCATTGTTGGACATATAAAAAAAAATATTCCTATCAAAGAATTAAATGCTTTAATTTTTAATTTTTTTTTTTAGAAAGAACGTAATCCACAAAAATATTTTTTTTAGTGATATAAAAAAACAAACAGCTTCAACACTAATATTTGAACACTTGAAAACCTCAAGCATTACAGTCTATTTCATTTTTTTTTAATTCTTTAAATTTTAATAATAGCGTTTTGGAATGTATAATATATATATATTGCAAATTTCATTTCTATTAAAAAATAAAGTTTTTATTATTATTTTTAATAAAAATATCTAAAATTGGGCTGGTCTCTGTAATATATAGGTACCTATAATCTCTAACTTCATTTATTCCTTGAAACCTTCAATGATCTGCAATATTTGATAATAATCGTTATTATAATCTGGAATTTCATTGTCAATGTAACATTCCATTTTTTTTTTTTTTTTTTGTATCTCTTGGTTAACTCAAGATATGATATGATTTCGATGTATTAACATTGATGATTTTACATGTTTTCAGGTGTTAATTACCCAATTTTACGCGTTTTGGATTTTTATTGCACAAAAATCCGATTTCTACTCATCACCAACAAGCCACATCATACCGGACATAACATTTTGACGTGTTCCGTTAAATTATGTCCTAATTTTGGTACTTCTTCACTAGCAGGCCGGCACTGACTGCTATCTGGCAATGTTTATAACCTGAGCACTGATAATTTCAATAAGCCAGTGATAAGCCTTCTCATAATGCCTATCTTCGTATTATTGTATTATATTCATATTATTGAAAGTGTAAACAGAAACAAAAACAAATGTAATAACAAAAACTTTTATTTTACGAAACATATATTAACGGAATAATAAAAAAACGCTTAAGGTAGAAATGTACATATAAAAGATGAAAATGAAATAATAAAAAAAGCACTTAAAGAACATATGTAAATATAAAAGATGAAAATGAAATAATAAAAAAACACTTAAAGAACATATGTACATATAAAAGAAAAAATATCAACACTATAAACGACATATGTACAATTTAATTTCACTTCTTCTTATTTATTTTGGTACGTAAAATAGTTTTATGCTATTTAAATAGCGAGGAACGGCCCTCTTCTTTGTGAACCCGCCGCCACAAAAATTCGCATAATATGAATCGAGGTGTTGTCTGGCAGTTCCTCTATGTATTTTATTCCTCCACTTAGCTGAGCCCCATAATCGTTCTATGAGTTGAGTTTGAACCCCAGTTGATAACCCAGTTGGCCAAAAATAAAGAATTTAATAAATGACCGTAATAAGGAAATAACTGAAAAATAAACAATGTAATGACTGAAAGGTTTGGCGGGATAAGAAGAGAGAGGTTATGTGACGTGACGTTAGATAACATAGATAAGAAGTGAGGTTTCGAACCGGCCTGCTAGTGAAGTAGTACGCTAATTTTGTATTCCGAAACCGAAAACGATCAACTATGAGTAAACATATTTACGCGGACAGTAGTAGAAAAGAGATTTGTAAGAAAGGAGCAAAGATGTAATAGATACAGGAGAGGAACTAGAAGGACAGGATGACTGAATAAGTGAGCAAAGCAAATTGGAGCATGTGTAGGCCGCTTTTGTAAAGGCTGCTCAGGGCTTTCGCTCCGCGTCGTTCTAGCTGTCCTCGCTCTGTTAGCTCTCTTTACAGCCGCTTCTTCAAAGCTATTTGCACCTGTCGAGGCTACAAAACCGCTCTAAGTGCACCAGGTTAACTATAGCCCAGGATTTCCATCTGCGCACTCACAGACACCCAAAACAGATCTCTGGGCCACTGCAATTTAAACCTTTAAAGAAGCTTACAGGTAAGAGTACAACTAGAGAAAATTTAATTATTCTCTATATCAGTCATACAGTATTAATAAATACTAACATTAATACCAAGTTAACAAAAAAAAACACGCTTCATTTTGATACATCTCTAAAAATTATTTATAAAATTCTATCTGCGGATCAACCCCCATTTTACGAATTATACAAATGCCCATTTAGTTGTACTACTTGTCGCTCAAATTACATAACTGTAATTTACATGTATTCTGTAGTTCGGGTTGTATGATTTTTTTATCAAGATAAAATAAACGATATTTTTAATTTCTTTAAAAATATGCATTATTCATCTCGCCTTATTGCCAATTTATATTATTATATAACTATAATTATTCTTATTGCCATTTGTAACCTACCGATTTGTAACACATAACAAGAGAGAAGCAGTTTTTTTGATTTGTTTAGTTTCTGTTAGTTTATATACAAATATTGTCCTCGACTCCCTGGGAATCATTCACCACCACGTGCATGGCTAACCCGAGAGTTTTAATTTATGTGTTTATTTATTTATTTAATGGAAAATTGAAAAACGATAGATTAAGAGAGAGAAGTAAAATTAGAATTTCAGTAAAAGTAGAGAGAAAGGGAAATTAAATGTTAAAAAAAAGAAATAAAAAAAAAAGGATTTACGAAAAATAAAAAATAAATAAATAAACATATATATATATATATATATAGTATACTATGCTCATATATATCGTTAAACCTATATAATTGATAATTGTTTGAAAAATTGTCTGTAGTGATTAATAAGTATGCTGTGTTTTTAGCAACCCAATGTAATTGGGCAGCACCATTTTATGGTTATAAAGTGATTCTCTCTCTAGTAATATTATTTTGCCAAAGATGGCGGACGACGAATGATACCATCCCATACCATTTGAATGGTTATTAACAGTGTTTTTGTCATTAAGGTATAGATTCGGTTAATGTTTATTTTATTATGAGTTATTGTTTATTTTCTATTGCGTGGTACGTATGTATATGTGTATTAATAATTGATTCATAAATGAAGTAGAATTATGTATCTATGTATGTTTATTTATTATAATGAGAGTGATTGTTTATTTAAAACGCAAGCTTTATTATGAAGTGACTGGAAACGACACAC